CAGAGAGAGAGCGCCATGAAATGTAAAAGAAAGAAAGTGTTGACAAAGAACAGGTTTTTAACCTAATTATAATTGCTAAAAAATATATATATGAATTGCCATGTCAAGTGCATATAGTGTATAAAAACAAAGAAAAGTACCCGCGTATGTCCCAGAAATTAATTTGTGTCAAGGCCCCCATCGGCTGTTTAGTCCGGAAGCGGCGATGCTCAAGAACACTTGCTAGATGTGGAAATTGATTTCCTACACATATGGCTGTTGTTGCTTTCGACTGGACATTGAACTTGTAGCGAATTGCGACTCAACGACCGTGTAATGCCCGCCTGTAATACAGCTCTCTATCTCTCCCCGTTTGTAGTTTAGCGGAGCAGCAGCAGCCAGCACTCTTCTTCCCCCCTACAACACTCTCACACTCGAGGTTCGGCCAATATCTGACCCCAAACAACACCACAAGCCAAGATGTTCATCTGGGATTGGTTCACCGGAGTCCTAGGATACTTAGGTAAGCGCGCGGAACGGGAACGGGACGGTCGCTTTTCTTGAGCGATTGCCAACAAAGCAACGCCAGCCCAGGGCAGGCCAGACCAAACGTTGGAACGCATACAAAAGAAACACCAAAAAATTTGACTAATGTATGCGTTTCGATGCCTGTGTCTGTTGCTGCCGTGTACACAGCTGGCTGTCGTTATGGTATTGGTTTAGCGGCGTGTATTAATTGATGACGATTTAGTCGAATCATTTGACCTTCCCGCATGTTTTTCGGGTGGTTTGGTTGCATTTTTTTTCAACTTGTATTTCCTCCTTGCAGGTCTGTGGAAAAAGTCTGGCAAATTGTTGTTCCTTGGCTTGGATAATGCTGGCAAGACCACGCTACTGCACATGCTCAAAGATGATAAGCTGGCACAGCATGTACCCACCCTGCATCCCAGTGAGTATTAGTCGCCAGTGGCTCGTTTCTCCATTCTAATGAAACCTCCCATCTCCTGCAGCGTCCGAGGAGCTGTCCATTGGCAATATGCGCTTCACCACATTCGACTTGGGTGGCCACACTCAAGGTAAGTTGAGCGTTCGACCAGGAGCACTCATACATTATTTTTGAGCTTTTCCGAACGTGTGTGCCCTAACTCTAAATATAGCCACACGGCTGCATATAATACATGGGGCGGCGACATATGCAAAAGAGCCAGAGAGATTCAGCAACAATCAGCGTGAAATATAGCACAGCGGGTCACTCATACAGAGACCCACAACTTGTTGTACTTTTGCACATTTGTTGCGTTCAATCAGCCACAGTCACACGAGCGTTGAACGAAATGCCATTACAGTGGTCAAAGATCCATTCGTCGTTCCTCGAGCGACCTTTCATCTAGTTGAACTTTTGCCAAATAAAAACATGTAGAAAGCTTTTAGAATATAATCATAAAAGAGACATGGCATGCTATAAGCAGTCTATGACGCGCAGTGCACCTTCTCTTAGATGTTTCTGACTCAGTCGATGCTTCCCGAAGAACGATTTCTTGCACCACTGTGCACCTACATTTGTGTGAATAATTTACAAGTACGCAAAGATAACGCAAAACAAAGTGCCCAAGATCAACAAGAATCAAAAACTTATTTATTAACTATTTAGAGAGTGCACGCGGAATGTGCACCGAAATAAAACTAATCAGACAAAAAAGAGCGGAGTTGGTAGCTGCTGGCAATAGTCAGCATGAAGCATGAAATGCGGGCCGGGTCGCATTTTCTCAATTGATAAGTTGATAAACCAACACAAATACGGAACACACAGTAGTACGTATTTAATGTACATATATTAGTAGAGCATGTCATCGTGACGATCGGTTTCGTTTCGCTGTGGAGCAAGCTCTAATCATGCACGAACAAAAGATGACAGCCAGGCAGCGTCTCTTGGTTTTTGAAAAGATATCATATCAATGAACGTGTTTGCTGATGTTATGTAAATTTATAAAGCTTACAATGAAGGTTTAGGAGCACTGACCACTCACACACACAAGCACCCAAAGTTAAGGCTTAAAGTTAAACTTAAATTTTGAACCTATTGCAGCACGTCGCGTCTGGAAAGACTATTTCCCCGCTGTCGACGCCATTGTGTTCTTAATAGACGCCTGGGATCGCGGCCGCTTCCAGGAGAGCAAAAACGAGCTGGATTCGCTGCTCACGGATGAGGCGCTGTCCAACTGCCCCGTGCTCATATTGGGCAACAAAATCGATAAGCCCGGTGCGGCCAGCGAGGATGAGCTGAGAAATGTGTTTGGACTGTATCAGTTAACAACCGGCAAGGTATGACTAAATTATCCTCCCTCTCCTCTTATTGTTTACTAAATTTCTTGTTTGGTTTTCAGGGCAAAGTTGTACGTGCCGATCTGCCTGGCCGCCCATTGGAATTGTTCATGTGCTCCGTGCTGAAGCGACAGGGCTACGGCGAGGGTTTCCGTTGGCTAGCGCAGTATATCGATTAAGTTAACAATAAAAAACCAACAAGAACCATAATAAAACAAACACACACATAAACTGAGAGGATAACTTGGCTACAAAATTCAAATACCCGACGATAGAACAGAACCGAAAACCGAACAGAACAGAAGGGAATCCCGAACCCAAACTCCAACCACAAAACGGACCTTAAGCAAAACGAAGCTGCGTGCGCAATTTCTAATTTATACACAATTACAACAAATAATTCATACATAAATAAAAATAAAAGGAAAACTCAAAAATCTGTACATCTGTAATTAGAAAAAAAAACACTCTTAAAACAACAACCAACACACAATGTTCAACAACATCAAAGTTCAAATAACTTTTCTATCGAGAACACCATTCAGCGAAAAGAAAACAACATCTAGAGAGTGATGTGATGAGAGGAGAGTGCGCGCAAGGGGAAGAAAACCAACTTTAAATAATAATTATGAATAAAACAAATTGTAGCAAATTAAAGGTGATTTATTTAAGAGCAAGTGCTTTCAGCAACGCTGTGCTGTTCCATAAATAAAAATTTAGCTATCATCTAACTATTATTTCAATCACAATCTAACTAGAAATTTTAAATTCCATTGTTTAGTTTACGCGAAAACATTATACATACCACACCTCACCGCCTGCTACGGTCCCTCCCCTTCTATAATTTAGCTAAAAACAAAATCTTGTACGTTGCATGTCCATCGATGTAATTTTGTTTCTTTTATACATCGCAAAAAAAGAGAGAATTCTAAATAAAACGGAGAAAAGTAATTTTGTAAAAATAATAAAAACATTTGAAGTTATTTAAAAGGACAGAATGTATTTTACAAATATATTATCGAGTTTATTTCATTCCACATTTAAGGATGCTTTTACGCTAATGAGTCAGTTAATTGCATTACACACACACAATATTTAAATCAAGAGGAAGGCGGTGGACGGCCCACGCACAAGCACAGATGTCACGAGCTGCGGGCACCACACCGTCCATCGTGTTCGTTTTGTCTATGTAGAAAAATATAATAAAACATTCAAGTGTTGGGGGGGCTGATCGTCTAGTGCTAGCTGCGACGGCAACAGGGACGCCGCCGGCAGAGCATCAGCTGCCGATGAAAGAGGCGCAAGAGCAAGCCTTTGCGCTTGGCCCGCTCCGTGCATCAGGAGCGCGTGGAGCCCATGGAGGAGCCACCGCCGCCCATGCGTCGCTTCTTCTTCTTTTTGGCGGTGAGACTCTCCTGTCCGCTGTCCGTATTGGAGTCGGCGTCCGCGTCGCTCTCCGACGATGATGAGGATGACGATGACGAGGAGGAGCTTGAATTACTGGAGCTATCCGAGGCGAAGCCGGTGCTCTCATTTATATTAATACTTTCGGCGACTTGCGCCAGCTCTGGACGCTGCTCGCGCAGCACACGCAACCACTTGCGCGACAGCTTGGGCCGTCCCCGAACTGTCTTGTGCCAGACACACGGAAAGTTGGTCTTCGAGCTGAAGTTCTGGGTGATCGCAATGGTGTCGTCCAGGTTGAGGACCACGTGCCACCAGCCGCCCGGCACGAACACAGTGTCGCCCTCGCCCTGCAGCACCTCGATGGGCTTGTATTGCTCCGGCCAGGAGGGTAGCTTGGTGCGCGGGTAAATGGTGCTGAACCAGGTGATGGCCTCGTCACGCTGCTTGCCGCCCATGGCGCTGGTCACCTTGAGCAAGTCCTTGGGCGTTTGCGTGGGGAACAGGCACCATCGCTTGTGGCCGCGAATGAGCGTATTCCAGGCGCTGGTGCCCAGCGGATCGATGTGGATGCCCGTTCCGGAGCGTGAGGGGCCCATCACAAACCAGCGGTAGGGAGGCCTACGATTCTCACCGCAGTACTGGAACAGATCGTCCCTAAAGTACTTTGGCACCACGTAATCGTCGAGCAGCTTCTTCCTGCGGTGGTGCTCCCCAAAGCTGCTGTCGAAGATGTACAGCGGACTGTCGTCGCGCGTACCCTGCATGTACTCCACGTAGTATTTCATTTTCATTTTCACGCTGTAGCCCTCGTTGTCCTCGCCGCACTTGAACTTCTGGTTCCGATACTTCTTGGCCAGCCGCGACATGGTCCACTTCTCCAGAGCCATCCAGCCATCAGTGCATCCCTGTATCACCACCGGCTTGTAGGGCCGCTCGAAGCGTTCTATAAATTCGTCGCACGACACCGCCGCATCGTCGATTCGTTCCAGATTATCTGCAAAGTCCCAAAATGGCTCGAAGTTCTCATAGTACCGCATCGCCACCCACGCGTTATCTCCGTCCAGCTCTGGCCTGGCCTTGCGCTTAACGTCGCGGGTGCGCTTCCTGGACCGCTTCGGCAGTTTGAATTCCTCGCTCATCCTGGTAGTTGCTTGAGATTTTACCAATTTTTTTCTTTCCTAATTTTTATGGCAGAAGTGGAGAACGTGAGCCCAGTGTGGCAGCGATTTATGGCCTAAAATATACCGCACTACTCTAAAAAGTATATCCCAAAATACACCGTAAATATACTGCAGTGCTGGAAAATGCCCTTACTCCTGCTCATGTGACAGCTGTGGTGGTTGAAAAATAATGATAAGCCAGGTTGGACGAGGTAATGTTTTGGAAAAACTGCTGTATAATCGCCTGTAATGAATTATTCTATCCTGCTGTAGAGTTGTACAAAGTGCCGCTTCGCGTTCTAGATCATCGCGTATTTGTTAACGGCGAGATCGAAGCTTTCCTGGACAATTTCGAGGTGCGGCGCAACGACAGCGAAGTGGAGAAACTTTTCCAGGTCACCGAAACCGTAGGATCGCTCAAGTACGATCTTTCAGAGCGTTTTATTGCATTGGGCCAGCAAAACCTCACCGCTCTGGGCACCGAAGTGAACAATCTTTTGTGCGGAGTCAACAACCTGTTGGAAAAAGCCAAAGTAGAACGGACGGTAATTGGGACATTAATCGAGACGCCAGCTTATCAAATATGACTGACTGCATTTCGTATTTATAGGCCAGCGCTCAGTTGCAAGAGGCACGACAGTCACGTGAGCAGCGCCGATCTGAATTTCTGACCAATCTACAGCACGGCTACGCTCGCATTGAGAATTCGTTTGAAGAAAAGGAGGAAGAAATCGCCGAACTCTACTCCGATCTGCAATTGAAGCTGAGCACTGCGAAATAGTAGCCGCCGCTCCAAAATGCTCAAATCAACAATCATCGACACCCGAGTGCGCCTTGTGCCATCGGTGACGCTTTTGGAGTTCCTCGATGCCCAAAAGGAGCACTTCGAAAAGGTGCCCGAAAATGTCGCCAAACTGATGAAGAACGAAGGCTACACTTTACCTTTGAGTACACAAATCGTCAAGGAGCAAGAGCTCAGCATTAAACGCCCCATTATTGATCAAGCACTGCTGCGTAGACTCTGCGCCGATGGGCACGTGGAAGCAGAGCCAGCCGCCAAGTCCACTGGCAAGAAGAACAAGAAGGCAGCCAAAGGCAAGCAGTCATCATCCGAGGAGATAAATGAAGATGCAGAACCTCCGATGGAATACAAGAATGTCTTATACCTGACTGACATGCACTGGCTAAATGATACTCTGATCCAAATGCGCAAAGATGGAATCTGCAATCTCTTTCTCTTTGAGTTGATCGAATCATCGGATCTGGTGTTGCCGAAAAATGAGATGAAGCCACGTAACCCGGAGCTGGAGGCACGCTGCGAACGTCTCAGAGCGGAGCAGCACAATCGGGAGTACCACAAGATGACCAAGAATGTGGATGCAGGACTGAAGCATTATCCAGAGGACACCATAGCCTATCAAAGTGTGTACAGATCGAGATCCTCAAATTGAACGATTATTAATGCTTCTCTTTTCTTGTAGTTAAAAGTCTGAACAAGCAAATCATTGCTGTGTTGCAGTTCGTCTTCTCTGTGGCTGCTGGCTTCACTTTTGGTTTCTTTGGCGTCAATTTGATGGTTGGCCCCCTGCCCTTTGGCTTTCGCATCCTGCTGGGCGTTATTGTGGCCCTCATCATAGCCCTGGCTGAGATGTACTTCCTGGCCAAGAAGCTGCACGAATATGACGAGGTCCTAGATGCGCCCAAGCGCATGCAGCAGACGGCTCCAAAGCCACGTCGAGAGGCGCAGAGCGGAGTGCAGGCCCTTAAGCCTCACGCTGACTAAACACTGTATTAGTTTTTTCTTTTATATATACATAAATATGTGTGTATTATGTTGCAATTTTAGATTATATAAATATCTGTAAAAGTTTTATTCTTTCGGGAGGGGTAGGGGAGGGGATTCTAGGCTTTGGATATGAGGACTACGTATGCGCGTGGGTGGACAAAACATTCCTCGAATTAATAATTTACTCGTAGTGATTCGGTTGCGGATTGGGATTGTTCCAGGTCTCATCCAGGCCGGCGTTGGAGCCGCTGCGTCCCATCCATGCCAACAGATAGATGAACATGACAAAGGCCAGAATGCCGCTGAGCACCAGGAACCAGGTGCGTCGCCACGGTGGCCGAGACGATGGTGCATAGAAGCGTCGCGTCCAACGCGAGAACAGCTCAGCCGGCGTGCGGCGCTGGTACTTGTTGTCATCGCGATCCGTTCCACCAATGGGCGACTGACGTGGCAGCAAAGGTCGCCTACTGCTAGCTGTGGGAACAAACCAACAACAGAATTTAATTATTAAATGCAAAACCTTAAAGATAATGATTACGTACCATTAAAGTCGCCCGAGCTGGGTGGATTAAATGCATCCATTAGGAGCACGGAATGTGGAGTGGAGGCATCACCGCCATTTGGCTTCGCACGCTCCCGCTCTCCACCGGAATGAATGTGATGCACTTTGGTCATATTGCTGACAGCCGCCTGATTGGCATCCGCCTTAGCCTTGATGGCCTTCAAGCTGCTACTCTGATCCTCCGAGAGCTTTTGGAGAGCATTCTAATTAGCACACGCACAGACATAGTCGGCGAATATCTCGTTAAGCCGCTTACCAGAGCCAGGCCGAGGCCATTGCGACCCCAGTTGACTTGAGCCAGGTAGTTCTTCAGGGCATCCGCCACGGGCGAGACGAGATTGGTGTTGGGGAATATCTCCACATCACAGCTGGGGCACTTGTGGCCGCGCGGTGCCGTGTTGGCAGGCAGAGCGGCTTGGCGAGCATTCAGGCAGTCCCAATGAAAGACGTCTACAAATAGGAGGATCGAGTGTCATTAGAGTTCTGTTCGCATGCATGCCCCGGACACTCCACTTACGGTAGCAAACCAGTCGCACACACTCGCCCTGATCCAGCGAAGTGCTACACAGATTGCAGTTGGAAATGTAGTCGCTGTCCCGAAGCCATTGCAAATAGGATTGCACTATGCACTATGCGAAAATACACACAAAATACATTATATTGTGAGGTGTGTTGTGTGGAATAAGCAAATATATATATATACCTTTGGATGCAACTGCACCATACAGTGCTCGCAGACATTGAGTTTATGCTCGTAGCAGAATTGGTTGGTGACCAATCGTTTGGGGCATTTGCAAAGGCCCATTTCTGGGAGGTCGGCAGAGTTCTTATTTCGCAGAGATTTATTGCACCTGGGGGGTTTGTTGTGCCGGCACACTTGTGTAAAGCTAAGGTAGACGAGACACAAAAAATTATCGCATTCTCAATACGTTTTCAATTGAATTTAGTTTCGTTTGTCAGCTTTTGTCGGAATTTTCGTTTTGCCAATCACAGAATCAACAGCCACGTATTGTTACCGAGTTGCGTGGCGAATGGCAAAGTAACCACTACAATGACACCACACCGTTTCCTTTCCTGCTACTACCAACAACCAAAATGTTTAGACCAGAAGAACATGGACTTGAGCCCGATTTTCAGCTCACTAATTTCTCCACCCTACGGGGATGAGGCTGCAAAATCCCCCAGGATGTACTTACAAAGTACCTAAGGGGAACCGAGATAGTCCAATCCAAGCAAAATGACGAACACCACATTGGCGCTGGAATGGATTGTGCCGTTGTGCCACTCAAACGGCATGGAGGAGGAGAATATCTGCTTGCACAAACTGTCGACTTTTTCTATCCACTGGTAAATGATCCAGAGGTATTGGGCGGCATAACGCTGGCCAATGTCTTGAGTGATTTATATGCCGTTGGCGTGACCGACATTGACTCGCTTGAAATGATAATAAGTGTTTCAACGGAATTTACGGACAAGCAGCGCGATGTTGTTACATCACTAATCCTACAAGGGTTCCGAAAAGCATTGGCCAGAAACGGCTACAACCGAATCAACTTGAAGCTAAGGCAATTAAAGCTGAATCCTTGGTGCATCATTGGCGGCGTAGCGACATCTGTCTGCATAAAGGATGAAATCGTGTTTCCAACCAATGGCCGAGCGGGAGATGCTCTGGTACTTACAAAGCCACTGGGAACCCAGCTGGCGACAAATGCCCATATTTGGCAAACAAATAAAACTGATAAGTACAAAATCCTTCGAACCCAGTTCACTGATAACGAGATACTCGAGACCTTTGAGATGGCCCTGAAGTCGATGTCGTATTTGAATAAAAACGCCGCCCTCTTAATGCACAAATATCAGGCGCACTGTGCCACAGATGTGACAGGATTTGGTTTACTGGGTCATGCCGGAAACCTTGCACAATACCAAACGGACAAGGTCTTGTTCAAGATCAACAAACTGCCAATTATCAAAAATGTTGTGAAATTTAGCAAACTAATTGACCAAAGCACAAAATTGCTTTCTGGCAAAGTTGTAGAAACATCTGGCGGTCTATTGATTGCCCTGCCACCCGAGGCTGCAGACCAATTTTGTTGCGAATTCAATGAGATTACAAAGGGCGAACAGAAGGCTTTTAAAATTGGTTACGCAGAAGCGGCAAGTGAGTCCGATGCAGAGCTCGCAGATAATGTAGAATACATCGAAGTCAGTCTTTAAGCTGGATGAAAAGTAATGCAAATAATTGATTATTCAACCAATGACGAATGTTTCATAAAGGCTTAATGCTGGGAAATGCTTCGAACTTTACACATTTTGAGTGTGTATTTCTGATGATTAATTTAATGTATGCTTGGACTCCTCTTTAAAGATGGAAATAAAACACGAACATGTCTTGAAACTCTTCTATTCCAGCCATTCCTTCATATATTGACATTTAATGGCTGTGACATCGCCACAGTTGGAGCAATTCTTGATGACGGGACATATGCCGCAGGGCATTTGGACCAAACCAGTCGGGGGGAGGGGTAAATTAACGGCCCTGTACACATAGGAGCCATCCTGCTGCATTATGCGCTCCGCATTGCCATCATAGACAACCGTTTTGAGTATGGTTTCGAGGTCATCTTCGTCTAGGGTCACCTTGCTGATGCCCAAATCCGATATGAATTTGTGGACATCGTTGACGGTGCAGCAAGACAGTTGCTTGAGGGCCAGCGGGCCGTCACGCTTCTTTTCCGCGTTCTCGCGCTTCATTTGTAGGAAACGCAAACACTGCTGGTTCAGCACATCGACAAACTCAACTTCAAAGTCCTGATCCTGGTACCAGGCACCGCCTGTAATGGAACGATCTGGCTCCAAGTTGTACAGCATGTAAACTTTCTTTTTGCTGGCCTAAAACAAATGCATTTGATTATACTTAATAAGCCAAACTGTACGATGGAATGCATACTAACATTCACAGATTTAACCGCTTTGATTAGCTTTTTTGTTTCCAGATTCTTGAGAATTTTATTCAGCTGTGTCATATTCAGGTTCGACTTCATGCGTATGTCTCGTATCCAGATGCCCTTGTTGACTCCCTCCTCCACAATCCCATAGACGATTTTTTCCTCATTGTCGGCATCCTTGGGCAGGGCGCTCTTCTTCTCCGGATCCTTAGCACGATAGACAAGCTTCTCGCCTTTCTTTAGGATCTCGATGCCGCCTTGTTGCAGCAGTACATTCAGACCCTCGACTCGGGTGGCGGCCGGCACATCGGATAGGGCCTTGGTGAGATCATCGTTGGTGGCGCCGGCGGGTATACCCTGGATAACCGACAGCAACAGGTTGGCGACCTCCGCGGCCATGATGAGGTCAGATCTTTAAAAGCAAATTCAAATCAATTGAAATTTGGCGTAAAAACATAACAAACGGTTCGGGGCGAATGGTTGCGGCACTAAGAAGAAGACAAAATTCGTGTGGCGAAATGTTCATTGGACTTTTTAAAGTGTTGTCTGAGTTCCTCCACACATTTTGGCTGTCCTATAATGTCACAAGCAGCGAGTTCCGATGAGGAAACCGACTTTCAAGTCGTCAGCTTTACAAATTACCAGCGCGTTCGCGATAAAATTGGAAAGGTACGTGAAAAGCGTGCAGACAGAAATGGCGTTGCCACCTGGGATGATGATAGTCAGCTGTGGTCTCACAACGAATTTATATACGAATTAGAAAGATACTCTTTTTCCAACAGATAAGCTATGCTGATGGTATTGCCGATGGACGGGAGCAAGTCTTTCAAACTAGCTTCGATCAGGGCTATGCGGATGGACTAAACGTTGGCCTGGAATTGGCCAAATTTCACTCCTTTTTCGACACACTTGCAGCAGCGGGCACTAAGGATGAAAGTATATTAAAGGAACAAAAGGCGTACAAGGAGTTGAATCTCCCGAAAGCCACAGATAAACAGCACTTTAAGTACTTGGATCATCAAAACGAACCACTGACCGTGGTGTCGGAGAAGCAGGGCATCTACACGGACGACTTATTGGGTAAATGTGCCGCATCACTGCCAATGACTGCGAATTTATTCATTTCCAGGGATTCATCCTAGTGTTGATCCGGTTTAATGTATACAAATGATTGGGAATTATCAAAATTAACTGAACATATTATTTCTGTGTGTTAGCTTATAAATACAATCCCTCGGGCGTGCCTTCCTTCTTGCGGTACAGGACGCTCTCCTTGGATTTCTTAAAGTCCTCGTTGGTCACCTTCATGCGGCGTTCGCGCAGTGCCATGAGACCAGCCTCTGTGCAAATAGCCTTGATGTCGGCTCCAGAGAGATCATCCTTGGCCATGATCAGCTCGCTGAGGTTCACATCCTCGGCCAGGGTCATGCGAGACGTGTGGATGGTGAAAATGCGTCGCTTTGTCTTCTCGTCGGGCAGTGGGAACTCGATCTTACGATCGATACGTCCCGGACGAATGAGCGCCGGGTCGAGCGTCTCAATGCGATTCGTGGCCATGATTACCTTGACATCTCCACGCGAATCGAAGCCATCCAACTGATTGAGCAGCTCCAACATAGTTCTCTGGATCTCGCGCTCGCCGCCAGAGTTCGAGTCGTAGCGCTTGGTGCCGACTGCGTCGATTTCGTCGATAAACACAATGGAGGGTGCATGCTCCTCGGCCACACGGAACAGTTCGCGCACCAGCTTGGGGCCATCGCCCAGATACTTTTGTATCAGCTCCGAGCCCACGACGCGCAAGAACGTGGCGGAGGTTTGATTGGCCACGGCCTTGGCAAGCAGAGTCTTGCCTGTGCCGGGTGGGCCATAGAGGATGACGCCCTTTGGTGGCTTGATGCCCATTTCCTCATAGTATTCGGGATGCGTTAGCGGCAGCTCGACAGACTCTTTGATTTCCTGAATCTGAGTGTCCAGGCCACCAATGTCTGCGTAGGTTTCCTGCGGGGCCTTCTCCAGCTTCATGACGGTTACCATGGGATCGGTATCATCGCTGAGGACACCCACAACGGCGTGAACTTTGTGATTCAGCAGCACCGAGCAGCCAGGCTCCAGCTGATCCTTGTCCACAAACGACAGAATGCTAACGTAGTGCTCGGATCCCACCGAGGTGGACACAATCGCGTGATTATCGTCGATAATCTCCTCCAGATTGCCCACAGACATTGGTGTGCCGCGTAGGTCGTCCACCTTGGAGCGCTCCTCCTCGTTCTTCTCGTCTTGCGGCTTCAGGCGCTCCTGGTTGCGGATGAACTCATCCTCCATCATAAGGTAATCCTTGATGCGCTCCAGCTTGAGCAGCTTCAAGCGGCAACGCGTATGGGGCGTCACCAGGGGCAGTTTCATGGCCGCATCGGGTCCCTTTGCGCGGCGCTTCTTCTTTCCAACGCGAGTCGGAATTGGTGGCTCGTACTTCTTCTTTTTGTCTTTGTCATCCTTCTTGTCGCTGGATCCCCCTTGGGCCGATTGGTTTTGTCCCTGAAATGCACAAGCACAACCAATTAAATTACGTATTAGTCGGCATTTACGTTGCACTTTACCATTTTCAGTAACTTGTTTTTGGGTGGGCTTTGACTTGAAATACACCTTTTTCTTTTATTTTGTCACAAACAGATTTTTACCAGTCATATCCAGTGTGACCGCGAATTTGTTAATAAAATATACCGTCTGTCCCTCAGAAATATACCTTGTAATTTTCAAAATATACCGTAAATACAACATCGAAAGTCAGATTCCTCGATTTTGATGTTCTGTTTAATATTATTAATAAATCTCTCAGCACTGAAACTATAATTTAATGCGGTTCACTGGTAAAAAACAAGAGGGACTAGAATGTACCAAAAAGAGCGGCTGCGAAATCAGTGTGGCGCACTGCATAAAATAAAACTATCCGGTAGCACGATTCCGTAAAATAAAATATACAAGTGCAACCATTTCTGGACAATAAATCCTCGATATGTGATTTGATTGATAGAAATATATTTTTACTTGTAAATGCATATTTAGTCCTAAAGTAGCTGCAGATTTTCAGCACTAACCAACCAAATAGTATACTAACCAATAGTATAGTTATATATACCATTTGGTTAGTGATTTCAGTGACAGCCCGTGACAAGTCACGACATCAATGCTGCAACTGTCTGCCGTCTGGCAACCCAAACAATTTGTTTTGTTTGGTTTCTGCCGCTCATTTTAGTTTTTATTTTAAATTTCCGTATTATCCGCATTTTAATGGATCAAAATGTCAAGAACATCGACCTCAGGCTCGACAATGTAGCTGTCCTCACAACGGGCACTGCGGCAGAGTTCGTGAATGGCATTCTAGACTTTTTGCTCTACCAGCGCAGCCAGATTCCCTTTGTGTACAAAATGTATAAACATTGCATCGACAAGTGGGAGGATGAAGAGGATACCAACCAGCAGGAATCATTTGCCAACTATCAGGTCAACCAGCAGCGTACGAAGGCCAGGGCCACAAGGCAATCCATCAGTGACATGCGCGAGGTGAGGCTGATATTTCCGCTCTAGAAATTCATTTCTTAAGGCTCTGCTCCTTTTAGATCATACGGCAAGCGTTCAAGTCCGCCAAAGTAAAGAGCCTCCGGTTTATTTTTGGCTCGAATACCTTCTTGCCCACGGAGGTCTACACGCTGCACATCCCCCACGCAGCCGTAACCAGGGACCATTACCACGAAAACCATGCACTGTCCGAGGACAGCATAAGGCAGGCACTGCTCCGTCTGCTCACCTGCGAGGAGCTCTACACCATCTTCTCCACACAGCTAAACGCCACGAATGTGTTTCTGGAGCTGGAACTACTCACAGCCAACGAGCCTGGATTGCACACAAGTCTCGTCCCAAAAGCCGTCGCGAGTCATTTGCCGCGCAGCTGCAAAAATGTGCACTTGCATCTCCTGCACGCCAGCGATAATACACCGGCTGAGGTCCGTTGCTGCCAGGAGTTGGCCATATACCGAGATCTGGGTCTAATGCAGCTCGACAGCAGCGACGAGGACGGCAGCAAGCAGCTGGAATGTGTCGAAACGATCGAGGAGAGCTGTGGCTGGTGGCAGTCGGATGTCATAGTGCGTGGCTTCAAGGCACCACCCAACCAAAAGACGTGCGATTTGTGGAGTAGCTAACATTTTCTGTACCGTTTCGTCGAATTTCATCCGCCATTTTGCATGTTAAGAATAAAGTCGCAAATCATTTTATATTCCTGTATTTGTGCGGATTTTTGTCTGGCATCTTTTGACTCTAATCGTCTGCAATGGAGAGGACGAGAGGCTGGTCCTCGACTTTACGTTGATTGGACACAATGCGGTTGGCCAAGAGGTCCATGTCGCGCTGTCCAGTGGGAGTAAGCTTGCGGCCACCCTTGGGATGCGTCTCAATCATGCGTGCCGATTCGAGTGCATGAAAAGCCTGAAAATAAACCAATTGTCCAATGAAATAAAGTTTTGTAGGAAGCTACACACACAATTACCATGCGGATGCAGCCGTCCGATGAGCGGCAATACTTTGCTGGCAGCACCCCATTGCGCTTGCGGCCACTGTACACCTTGGTGAAGGCGGCCACGCCAGCCGGACTCCGAAAGTACAGATGGCGCATTATGGAGGCGCAGCGAGTATAGAACCAGTCGCGATCAGTCGGAGCCGTTTCCTTAAACTTTGCCGTCTTAATGTAGTCAGCCTGCTCGGGTACCGTAATCTTTCCCGATTTTTTCAGGAAATCAGACAGCACTTTGGTCAGAACGTGTTGGTCCACTTCTTTGACAGTAGCGCCCGGCATCGTTCAGAATATTTTCTGTAAGATTATTTATATTGATGGGCACAGAATTTCGTGATTAAATGTACTTACTTTTCTCTGTGGTAAAAAAAAAGTTGTGCTTCGCCGACACGCTTTTCGCAAAATGGCCGTTTCGTAATAATGGCCGCGGGATTTCAAGACAAACGTGTGACCAGCCCAAATGTAGTGATTTCGGTCGCACGAAAGAGTCGTAACTATATATTGCTACTACATTGTGAAGGCGGAAGGGTATAATATCGGGTTGGTACACTGTTAAGGGGAAGGCCAATTCATTAATTTTCAGTAAATATAGTAATTAAAACCTATAATGTTCGTAAAAAAGTTCCGCTACGTGTGATATAGCCACCGATATATTTTGGTTCTTCGATAGTCTTAACATCCTTTTTTGTGGTGGTTGCTTTTATTTGGTTTCCAAAAGTTAATTAATTAATTCGTCAATCGCATAAAATTATAGTTTCTGAGCAGAAACTCTTATCTTGCTAGTAATATAAAAAAGAAAATCAAAATGGAATAATATGATTTTCATCGGTATATGTACGGTATATTTTTAAATTGAGAGGGTATTTTTCAGTATATGTTATCGTTAAGTCCGCGGTCGTCCACAACAAAAATAAATAAATAATAACTGGACGGGCGCACAACTACAGCTACTAGTGTTATATATATATATATATCTTCCATATACGAGATTCGATTAACTCATTCTGGTGGACTGTGTGGAGTGTGTAGCATGTCTGAGAAACCTACTGTTTTAATTTTGGGTGGTAAGTGACCCTCCCAACTCCTACGCTACGCTTCCCTTCCGCTTATCACTGACTAACGCTGCACTGGAAATGCTAATTTTCTTCATGGTACTGCTCGCAGGCTGCGGATTCATTGGACGCAACTTGCTCACTTATCTGCTGGACAATGAACTGACGCAGGAAATACGCATAGCTGATAAGACGCCGCCACAAATGGCCTGGCTGAACGAGGAGCAGACCAGGGCCTTCGAGAGTGATAAAGTTGAGTTTTGCAGCGCCAACTTAATAAATGCCGGTATGTAACACTTCAGCAACTGCAACTGCAACTGCAGCGGAAGTAAAAGCAATACAACGCAGCAGTCGCAGTCGCTGTAGCAGTCACAGCCCCCAGACCGAGGTCTGTCACGCACACGTACGCGACTTAAACTGGTTTTGGATCCCTTTTGTGTGTGTTTACAGCCTCAGTCAGGCTGGCGTTTGCACCACACCCAACGACGGGCCGTTCCTGGGATGTGGTCATCAACTGTGCGGCCGAGACGCGTTCCAATCAAGATGATAGCGTCTACAAGGAGGGCATTCTCAAGCTGAGC